ACTAGCTGTGTGACCCTAGGCAAGTCACTTAACCCTCTTTGCTTCAGCTTCTTATCTGTAAAATGAGCAGAAGAAGGAAATAACAAACCATTCCAGTATCTCTGCCAAGAAAACCCCAAATGGGGTCATAAAGAGTCAGACATGACTGAAATGACTGAACAACAGAAAAAACCAAACCCTTTACAGTATCATAATCCCCTTTAGTCACCTATTTCAGTGTTTAACAAGACTAAAGGTAAAGAACAACTCATATTTAACTAACTTCAAAGTCTGAGAATCAAAAAAAAACAAAACCTATACATTATACATTGTATGAGTATGAAACTATTGACTAAATATGGTCTGGTAAACTCAATCAAGGTAGCTATTGGGACTGACCACTTGAGAACTTAGTATCCTTGATTTTCAGGGCACTGTGATATCGTAAAAGTCTACTTTGTCTTAGTTTCCCCATTGTAAGAAAGGAACAGCACACGTTATTATTTGCCTAACACCTCAGAATGCCAAGGTTTAACTAATAATTAATGCTTATCAAAGTATTTGATACCTTTCAATGCTATGAAAATGTTAAATAATCATTCATCAGAAATGTCTATAAAATGCTCAGGTTCTTTGGCAGAGTTTTTGACAAATACTAAGTACTATAATTATCTATATATGGATAAATATTTGAGACTATTCTTGAAATCATTCCATGTTCTCATTCCCACCACCATCCAGTGCACTTTTGTTTGCCCATCCTTAACAAGCACAACAGATTATTTTACCCATTTGCAAAAGAAGAGATTGTTTGAGGATTTTTTTAAGGAGAAAAGGTCTTTTTTTGAATGTAAGGTAAAACATAACCAAGTATAAGAGAATGGGAAATATGAGTATAGTGTTATATGCATGCTACATGCATTTGTGAAAGACATTTGACATGCTGTTTTAGAGAACAAAGACACTATATACAGAACCTAGCATACTGAGAGCAATAAAACAATGAAATAGGATGGATTTAGCCCTTTGTAGCATAGAAGGCATGCTAGAGGTTCCACTTTACGGAAACCTAAATCTAGAGTTCTTTATAAATAGTTATTACTATACCTTTGAACTCTGCCCAAGCACAACCCAATAGAATCAGGAAACTGCCAACCCCTGAGAAATTCTAAGAAACACATTCATTCAAGAAGACAAAGAAAATGAAACGAGCCTAACTCTTTCATTCTAAATTTAAAGTTACTTTGATTACTGTTCAGAATAGTATATAGGGTGATTATTCTAACCCAGAACTGTTAGATATCTCACTCCTAATACTAAACTTAGTTTAGGGCTCTAAATTGACTCCATCCTATATATCCAACTCATATTCCTCCAAACCAAGTTAATTACCTCACTAATCCCCCCAAACCATACTGACTGATGTTTTTGCACCTTTGCTGGGACCATTCTCTCCACCTAAATGCCCTCCTCACATCTTCAGTCTTTCCGAATCATAATCCCTATATCAAGGCCTAGTTTAAGCTCTACCTCATCTAATCAAATAGATTTCCTCTCTAATATCAGCTAACACTGATCTCCCCCACAAATGAAATGAGTCCAGCTTGAGCTTCCCTTAAACATAGATCTCTAAAAGCTACACTCAGGTTTAAGACCCACTTTAGAATAGGAGCATTTCAAAACCACACTTCATGAGCCCCTATCGAGTGCTTCTTTTTTTATCAGAACAAATCAAAGGGCACATTAGCTGAAGAAAAAAAAAACCATTTCATTTAACAAGAAAGCAAGGTAAACACCAAGGAAAATAACGCTCCATATACATGCAAGGGCACACTCTCACAGATTCCCACATCTGTTAGGAAAGGAAACACATGTAGTCCAGCCAACTGATCCTCCTACAGTTGCATACCAGCTAGAAAACCTTTGTGCCTTCAAAGCTGCCACTTGCTACTTCCATATAAAACTGCTGATATAATTTTCTGTATTGCTTCCTCTACTGTGTTGCATTTGCTGGTTCTCTGCTAAGCTACCATGTAATCTATAGGTTCTTTGCTAGACTGTATGCAGCTTGCTATGAAGCCTCGGGGTTATTTCAGCCATTTTGTGAATCATATCCCCAACTGTACCCACAGCATAGTCACTCAAGCCAATTCAACATTTTCTTTATTGTTTGAACTCCTTTGCTACTCTTTCAGGAACAATTCTTTTGGGCTGGAGCTAGTAAATTCCTTTCAACTTTCATCATGCCACTGGCAGCTAGCATTAGAGTCATGCGGATTACCCTGGAGCTAATAATAATATGTTTCCAGGCCTACATGCAGAGGGAGACTGTTATGTGGATGAAAGGGAGGCAGAATAGATATCTCTAACCAAGACAGGAAGTAGGATGTTGGAGCCAGAGACCACTCTGTTCTCCTCTGAGAGGGGGTATAACAGGTTAGAATTATATCTATTTGCTCCCTTAAATACTGTTTGCCTAGGGGATATGAGTTTCAGGTTTAATCTGTTCTGATCATTGTTCATTATTGAAGGAGGAAGGACCTCCTCAAGCACTATATCTGAGACTTGACCCCTTTCCCTCCAAATACTAGTTCCACAATGAACATACATATCAATTATCAATGAAAACCATTTATCCAAATTGGCAGCAAAATAGAAATCAGAGAAAGTATATATAGGACAATACATACCAGAAAATACTGGAGTGAAGTAACAGCTCAACCAAATCCTAGATCTCACTCAAGGGGAATTTCCTAAAGTCTCTAGTGTAGCAAGCTGGGGATAGGGACATGATGAAGATTGCCAGCTCCTCTCAGGTCTTCCCAGAGTCTTTTCCTTCGCAACCTGAAGTGGGGTTGGCCTTTTACATACTCCCTAGGAAAACTGGAAGCCAGAAACACCCAAAGCAATTGTAGAGTCCAAAGAAACTTGAAGCTTGAAGAGAACTGAAGAACTCTGCTTTCTCATACTCACATCAACCGTGCTCCACCCCTGATGCAAGCTCTGAGTATGATCTCCACCAATAAGGAGAGAGTCCCATACTGTGAGCATTAAGACTGGGATTACTACTACTACCACTACTACTACTACTACTACTACTACTACTACTACCACTTATAAATCACTTTAAGGTATGCAAAATACTTTACACATGTTATGACATTTGATCCTCAAGACAACCCTGGAAGTGGGAGGTAGGTGTTTTTATTATCCTCATTTTACAGATGAGGAAACTGAGGCACAGAGGGGTTAATTGACTTGCCCAGCCACTCTGCCAAATTGCCTCTACAAATGAGGGCTTTCCTTTTCCCAAGACTAAATACTTTACTTTGTGGTCTTAATAACAAATGCAGCTGAAGAACAGACAGTTAATGAACATAAACAGAGTAGCAAGCTCCAAGCCTCACACTTTTCTTTCTTTCACCTCACCCAGGAAGTGAGCATAATATTCCTGCCACCCTTTTCCTTTCCAGAGGATCACAGATATTTGAGATCCCCTCATCCTATCTCCCCCCCTTCTTTTTTTGGCTAGGCAATAAGGTTAAGTGACTTGCCCAGGGTCACACAGCTAGTAAGTATTATGTGTCTGAAGTGGGATTTGAACTCAGGTCCTCCTGACTCCAGGGCTGGTGCTCTATCCACTCTATTCCCCTTATTTTACAGAGGAGTGACTTGTGCAGGATCACCCAGCTAGTACACGGAAGGCTGACATTTGAGGCCTGGTCTCAACTCTTAATCCGGTGCTCTTTCCTCTCCCCAATGTTGACTTTCCCTGATTGGCCTGGTTTATGTCCCCTGGCCTCTAAAAGGCTCTCGCTGAGCACAAGGCCACGATCAGTTCTGCTTTCTGGTTCCGAGAAAGCTTAGCCCAGCAGCAAAATGCCTTCTGAACTGGGAAGTAGAACAAATAGACTCTAGGCCTCAGTTCCACCACTATGGGTGCATGATTCCTGGGGCATTCCTTTGCCACTTCTAGGCTAGAGTTACCTCCGTCTACACTAATGGAAGAATAATCCCTTCTCCTTCCACATGAAAGGTTCGTGTGTAAAAGCAGAGGAAAATAATATCCAACTCTTACATTTACCAGAGGCCTCTGGAATGGCCCCCTGAAGACGGGGTCTGTTTCTGTCAGAGGGTAGGGATGTCCACGGACCACCCTCTCGGAGGGGTCGGAGGATTCGGAGGACCCGGGGGATCCCAAGCATCCCCCCTGAACTAAAGGGATATAAGACTGACCCATGCAGTCATCAGCCAGAAGCAGAATCCACGAAGCCCGCACAGACTCATAACACCGAGGCGGGGCGACATACACCTCTGCCTCCCAGGAATGGAAGCAGCTAGGGCGGTCTCCATGGAAACAAAGAAGGGCAAATCACCCTCTTCCGCCTAGGGGCCCGCCCTCAAGACAAATTAACCAATGATTCGGGGCAGGTTACCAACGAGAAGGTATCATTGATAGCAATGAGAGAACCCGTTGTCCAATCGATTTTGAGATTGGACCCAAGACTCTTTCCAGCATAACCAATAGTAAGGCCTGATGAAGTAACCTCCCACCGCCATTGGAGGATGTAACGAGGGGAAAAAAAAAAAAATGAGCTTTTGGGCGGCCGCCTCCGATTGGTGAGTTTGGGAGGTTGAGGTTGAGAAACCACTTGTGATTCGCTATCGCTAGAACGAGGCGTCTACGGGAAGGGGCTAGACCGGAGTTGGAAGTTGTGTGGAAAGGAGACGGCCGGCCAGGTGAGGTGATAGGGAGGGGAGGTGCTGGGAAGCAGGTGAGGCTGTACACCGGACCTGAGGAGAGCGGGTCTGGAGGAAGAGTTGAAGGTGAAGGGACAGGGAAGGCAGCAGGAAGTGGAGCCCTGATCCAGCGGCTTTTCCTCGCAGTCCTCCCCCCCTCCCCCCCCCCCCCCCCGCCCTTCCCCGCGCCTGGTGCTGCCAGAGGGACAGTAACATTTCACTGGAGCCAGAGAAGGGCCCGGCATTTACATGGGGCTGGCCTCGGAAGCACGAAGACCGGACTTCAGGTGCCTCCTTTGACATGGGCCGGCTGTGGGACCCTGAGCCAATCTCTGAACCTCTCGGTGCTCGGGGCAGACAGAGTGTTGGCTTGCATGGGTAGGGGGAGTTTCTTTTATCCATTCAATCACAGCCTTGGTCCTTGGTCCTTTATCTTAGGGGGAAGGGCCGTTGCTTTTGTCTTCTTTGCGCTTGGGAGATGTAGCATCTAGTTCAATGCTGTCGTAGGTTTTGCAATTTCAAGTACCCTTGTGAAAAGGCTGATATCCCTTCCTCAGGTGTGCGGGTGAGGAATGAATACTTTAGCAACGAAGCTGGAAATCGAAGCTAAGCACAGTACATGGTCTGTTGTCCTCCTGGTGGGCTAATGACTGTAAGCAGTAGAGAGGGACAGCCCCTGCTGCAGATTCAAATCAGGCTTCGACCTCTAGCCCAGGAAATGTATGAAAGATGAGAAATCGCATGGCCACTGGTCTGAATCCACAGAGAGGAGTCTGTCATTGGCGATTATGCAGCCTTACAAAGTTATTTTCAAAAGAAATGCCTAGAAAGGAAGTTGGGGGAAAAAACCATAACCCCCAAAGTGTGATCTCCATAAATTGCATGTACATCTTCTTCCTCCTCCAAGGCATACTCATCCTTTCAATAAACATTAACTGAGTGCCTACTGTATGCCAGGTACTGGGAATACAGATACAAAAGCAAAATAGGCCCTGCTCTTAAGGCCCTTTCACTGTATTGGGGAAAAAAAACTCTTGCACAGATAACCATTATCTGTGTGATTTCATTCATGGAAAGAGTGTCAGGTTAGGGAACTCCCTTTACCAATGCAGATTTGCAATTATTTTGCAATTTATAATCTTAAAATTGCCTAGAGAAATTACAAGTGACTTGCCCAGGGTCACAGTCAATATGTCAGGAGCTGAACTTGAACCCTTGTCTTCTTGATTCCAAAGACTTCTGTCTATGCACTGCAGTGCAAGGGTGGGGAACCTTGGGTCTCGAATCAACATTCCCTTTAGGTCCTTAATTGTGGCCTTTGTTCCGGGAAGTTTGTCAAAGGGCAGAACTTGAGGACCTAGAGTGCCACGAGGTCAAAGGTTCCCCATCCCCACTCCATTCTGTAGTTACAAAGTAACTACAGTAACCCAAATACATCTTTGGGTGGGTAGAAAAGGGAAAGGCACTAGCAACTCAAGGGATAGGCTTCTTATGAAAGGTGACACTTGAACCTTGAAGAAATTGGACAGGAAGTAGAGAAGCACATAGTGGATGTGAATAGAGGACAACACATTACCAAGGAGACTCAATTTAAGGTTGTCACCAAAGAAATGTATGAAGAAATAGATTGTTCAAGTGGCAAGAGCAAGAGGAAATAATTGATGATCATGCCCACCATTCCATTATGATATTAGAGAAAAATGAGGAAGGTTTCCAGCATGCTGGATGGCAAACTTACAGGATATCAACAGAAGATAGATGGGAATAGGTGCATTATGATCTGCATTGTTGGAAGAAACTCCATCGGTAGAGTTCACAGATCTACTGGAGTATCAGTTTGGATTTATTGTATAAAATAATGACCTAAATTGCTTAGTTGAGGTATTACCTCCTATGAGCCTTTCTTGATTACCCTAGTTATCAATTCTACCCCCAATTATTATGTTTCTTTTAGATACAACTTTATCTGTCTATGTTTTTGCCCCACTGTAGTAGGATGTTAGCTACTTGAAGACACTGTTTTGGTTCTGTGTTTGTATATTCAGTGCCTGGTACTTAACAGGTACTTAATAAATGCTTATTCAGTTGGATTTACTTAAGGGAGTACATTCAAACCATGAGATAGCCTGTGAAAAAGCAAAGATGACATGAACTGTTATATTTGAGTTTGACTGGTATATACAGTGGCCATAGGCAGATAATGTGTAATTAGCCTAGAAAGGTTAGCTGAAGCCAGATTTTGAAGTGTTTTAAATACCTACAAACCAAAGGGGAGCCACTGAAGTTTCTTGAGGAGGAGAATGACCTGATTGGGAACTAAGTAGAGGATGAGAGAGGGAAGACTTGAGGCATCTGTGCCTGTATGTAGTCTACAGCTGACCAGAACTGCTTCTGTAGATATGGTTCAGTTCGAAGGGACCCCAGAGGTCATCTAATCTAAGCCCCTCATTTTATAGATGAGGAAGTTGAGACTCAGAGAAAGGTGATTTGCCCAAGGTCACACAGGTGGTATCAAAACTGGGAATTAAATTCAGGTTCTGACTCCAAATCCAGCGTTCTATACATTGTGCCTCCCCACCCTCCCCCACCCAGTATTCTGATATTTATTACCCACTGTGGGATCAGCAGGTCCACAGAATAGTTAATTTTTTTTATGCCCACATGTAGTTTGCCCCATAAATTTAGTTCATCCAGTAAGATGATAACATGGCAGCAGTACAAGACTTATTCATATCTTTTCACAAAATGCTTTCACCACTTTGTGTTGCTGTGTAGAAGATACTTTATGCTTTCCCATTTAGTAAGGTGAGGCTTGGACAAGTCCAGAGACTTGCCCCTGGTTGCACAGCTAGTAATTTTCAAAGCCAGAGTTTGATACTAGATCTTGTTTCAAAGTACACTACACAAGTCCAGCTGTTACAGCCTAGTGATAGCAACAAGCTAGTACACATATGCCAGATTTCAAGCAGTAAACATAGAGCAGTGTCTATTAAGGGGTCCAAGGACTGGACATTTTCTGGAAATTCATAACCTGCCCTGGTTAATTTTGTCACATATTAATCAGAAAATGCCCTCCTTCCACTAACACCCCACCTCCCCAGTCAATTTGTGCTCAAGTTTGGGCTTTCTTCACACAAATGAATGGCTTAATAAAAACTGGAAATATGAGGAAGGAAGAAGGCAAATGGAGCACATAGGACATTTAATCCTGTTCTTGTGGCAGAGCAGTGATGCTGATGTTTCCTTTCTTCTGTAGAATGGCTGGCACTGTACTTGGAGTGGGTGCAGGAGTATTCATCTTAGCGCTGCTCTGGGTGTTGGTATTGCTGCTGTGTGTGCTGTTATGCAGAGCCTCCGGTCTAGCTAGGTAAGATGTTCTTTCCAGCTGGGAGTCCTAGGTAAAAGCAATTAGAGATGAAATCGCTGACACTCATTAAACATTTAGAATTCAGGAGATCATTTTTGTAATTACTGGCAGTTTGAATGAGTTGCATTTTAGCCTATCATAAACCCTAATTGTTATTTATGGTCTAAAGGGGAAGATTTGTTTTTTCAGTTTTCACTGTGAGGTAGAAAAACATGACAGAAATATAGGGAAATCTACTTTCTCTGCATTTTGCAAAATAATAATAATAATGATGATGATGATGATGATAATTGTTTAGATTTCTAGAATTTGGTTAGTTCTTTATCTGAAGCTCTACGTCTGGGCCCAGAGAAACTGAAGGAGCAATGAATACTCCAAACCATCAATGATTGTGAAGCTAAGACCACATACTAACTTTTGAAAGTGTGCTAAGCTATGGATGTTCTGCCTGTGCTGCCAGAGTGAAGAGGAGGGTTGTAGGAGTACCTGAGTATTTATGCAGAAAAAGCCTGCTTTGACTTGAATTGTTATAGTTATTACACTGTGCATATATGATCAGAGGCAAAGGCCCCAAACTTGCAACATTATGATTTGGATCATGCTAGGAATACTTCTATCTAGTACCTATATAAAACAGGACCAAGAGGATGCCTTTAGAAAAATCTCTTAAATTTACTGAGCTAGATGGACAACAGGCCCTGTGAGCATTGTTGTGGGAGTAGAGCCTATAATACTGGCTCCCAAGAACAGTCTAAGCTCAACACATTGGTGGAAAATGTGAACAGTGCTTTTAATACTTGTGTATTTGTCTTTCAGGTTCTCTGTCACTTTTGTTTTCCTTGCTGCTGTGATCATCACATCAGTTCTGTTGTTGTTTCCCCGGGCCACTGAGGTCCCAACCCCAGAGGTAGAAATTAAGGTAAAATTCTGTTTTGTTTTGCCTTTCTTATTGTGATTCTTACATCTTTCCCAAATCTAATGAGACCTTCCCTGATGTAGGATTGATTTGTTATGTGATATTAGAAGAGCTGTAGTGGCAGAACAGTGAAGGAGAAAGTACAGAGGGAGTTTTTAATTCCCCTTCTACCTGTCTCTAAGAAAAATAATCCAGTTCTGAATCTTTACTTCAGTAAAGATGGTGTTTCAACACCATCAGACATTTATGTGCCTGTATGATATTTTTCTAGCCTCTATCACATCAAACAAGCAGTCCAGCCTTCAAAGCCAATTTAGACTTTGTAGGGACTCAAGCTTGCTGAATGACATACCTTTCCTCTTCAGTGTAAATTTTTCCATCTGTTAAGTGGAGAATATAGTTCCTCATTGAAGAAAGCAGTCAGCAAAGAGAAGCATTTTCTGTTGAAAGCTGAAGTATAGAGAAGCTCTGTGGAGAGGCAGCAGGGTGCTGTAAAAAGAAGACACAACTTGAAGTCAGAAGTCTTGGCTCCAGAACTTAGCTAGCTATGTGCAATGTCCTTAACCTGTCTAAGCCCCACTTTACTCATCAGTAAAAAGGGAATGATAGTTGTTCTACCCACCTCATAGGTTTGTGGTAAGGAAGGTAATGTATAATGTGTAAGTTATAAAAGGATTCCATAAATGTAATCTTGTTGCCTCTTTTGCCTCATTCTCAGCTTATCTGCCAATAGTTTGTTGTCACTGCCCCAAGATCCATTTCATTATCGTACGAGATTATAGCTGTGCCATAGAATAATATCTGTTCTCAGATCCTTGGGCTGTGTTCATGTACTTTGTCTTCCTGTTTCCTACCTTCCCTTGGTGCTCAAATACCTATACAAAGCTGTTAGGCTTTTAATTTCATCACAAAATTGCTACCTTTATCAGAGTATTGTTCAACTTCCTGAAATGCCCCTAAAAATTGTTCTTTATGCTGTATTTCCTTACTAGCAATCTCCAAAGCCCCAGTCCTCCCAAAGTAACGATTAGTTTCATTATTCCATGCCAGGTCAAGATGGAGAAATTTTGGCCTTTCCCCTTAAGACCCAAGAGCTTTTACTTCTTAATCATATCCTAAGTTATGATTTTTTTTCTTTTTAAAACATTTTATTGATGCTTTTAAAAAATTTCACTGTCATTTCCGACTGACTGTCCTACCCTCCCCAAATAAAATAACTTCCCTTTCCTGAAAATCCCACTCCCAGCCCCCCAACAAATCAGTACAGTAAAGCAAAATCACTCGTTGGACATGTCTGAAAATGTAGTCTTCATTCTGAAGCCCAGCACCTTTCTAACAAGAGATGGGAGGCAAGCAAAGCTTAGATTTTTTTCTCCTTTGCCTGCAACCCAGTAGAAATAGCAGGAACTATCACTGTTGCCACAGAATCCATATAGAGAACTGTTCATGGGCTGAAATGGAACCTCTATAATCTTTACAACTCCTAGTTCTGCCTAAAACTGCCAAGCATAAACACATTAGTTATGAAAACTTAAGAGAATATGTTTTCTATTAAAATTTGGGGAATTATATTTTTAAGTGCCAGGATCACTGCTAGTGTTTCAGAAAATCTCTTTGCCATTATAGGTGCCATGTATCTGTATGTGAACTGGGGCAAATTTCTGCCTCAATTTCCCCATCTCTGAAATGGAGAGAATGTTGGCTGCCTTCCTTCTTGAGCTACTACACATATGAATTCTAGAGGAAAAGCCCCGTGGAAAAAAGAAGATACTATAAAATCAATCACCCTTTGTCACAGGAGTCTCAGACTAGAAAGAAAAGTAGGGTTTGGGCAAAATCTGCTTGTCAGCATGGCCAGCAAAATTAGAGTTCTCATTTGCAGGATTACCAGAACTGGCCCCTGCAGCAGCCTGGCTCAATACCGTATCAATAATACATGAGCTGGGCCTTCTGCAACCAACGCTTGCTAATTGGCTAATTAAAAAGTGAAACGTGTCGAACGAGCAAACATGTAGCCCGCAAGAGACTTGTTCTGTACTAGAGCCAAGGTCAAACATGTTAAAGCTGTTTCATCAAACTAACCTTTGTTGTAAGCTGAGCATGGGGCAATCCCTTTAGCAGCTGGGGTGGTTGCAGCCCTTTTCTTCTTGGGGTCTTTGGATCTCAGCAATCACACTGGTGCTTGGTTTGATAGGTTCTCTGTGTCTGGATCTCCACTTGGGCATTTGGGATTATCTTCCAGGTGTTGTGTCCAAAGACCTTGGAAGCTGTGACATTATCTTTTTGCTCTGTTTATATTGCTGCCTAGCTAGTTTGGTAGGTTATCAGCATGTGAATTTAGGGAGAGTAGAGCTGAGATCAGTTAACACGATAGTGGAGCTAAGAGGCTAAAATTATTATTAACTTCAAGTTTCAGTCAGTGTCAAAACCAGAATCTTCTAGTGTGACTGGTTGTTATTGATTTCTTTCAATGATCAGCATATGACTTTGGGATGTTACTGAAACAACTATTTCAGGCAGGTGTTGCAAACAATTGGTTATAGTCACATTTGTTCTAGGAATGTTGAGTGGGTTTTATAAAGTGGTCAAACACCTTCAGATGAATGCTACAGAGTATTATTTTAAGGCTTATCCTATCAGGGACTTACTTGGCTTCAAATTAACGCAGGCAGTCTTAGATTAGAAAATGGGAATGTAGAGTTAATGATCCTTCTAGAACTCTTCTAGGTGTTTTCTAAACCCTTAGCCTTTTAGTTCATTAAAACTAATTCGCCTCAGTTCTAAAAGGGAAATCCCTTTTCTGTTTATAGAGGAAAGCCAGGGTAGGGTAGTGTCTGGAAGTTATAAAAATCTAAGAATTGGAGACCTTTGCTAACCAGAGATCTCAGACTTAGTATAATAAAGATGTTAAAGTGAAAAACATCCCAATAGCTATCATTTTTGACATTGTTTTCCTCTATTATCTAGATCATGGACAAGTTCTTCATTGGCCGTTATGTTCTCCTGGCTTTTCTCAGTATTTTCTTCCTTGGAAGCCTCTTCCTGGTTCTAATTCACCACATCCTGGAACCAATCTATGCCAAACCACTTCGTTAGGACTAAGGACCATTCAAAGAAATACCATAAACTACTCCTTGAAAAGAGCTGCTGCTCAATTTTGCATGGGCAACTTCCTTATCTTGGATCTGGCATGAATTCCATGAGTATTGGGATTCATTGAAGAACTATGGAATTATGCCTTTGGGGATGGATTCTCATTGACTTAAGAGAAATGGTGATATCTTCACAATTACCCTAAATGACTACACATCACTTCCCCTTTTTATACCTCAGTTTTCCACCTATTTAGAATCAGAAATAAGACATAACTATTTTGGAGTGGGACTTAGGATAAAATGGAATGATTTATAGGAAGAGAATGTTTACCTATAGCTGGCAGACACCACAAATCAGGTATTTTATGATGATCTGTGAAATTACATTGCTTTCAAAGTCTAGTTCATTTGGAAAGGATGTGCACTTTCATATTTGGAAAAGTTTGTATAATGGTTACTTATTGACCACTTTATGCTAGAGAATTCTAAAAAACATATAAGTCTCATTTCCCATCTAATAAAAATTAACACTGTCTTTTGTATATTCCAAGTTTGATTAGAGGTGAGAGAAAAGGTAAGTAATAGTAGTCCTCACTTTGGTATTGAATATATATTGCATCCTGTGCCCTCATTTTCTCCCCCTTCTTGGGCTCTTTAGTTCCTCTTTTCCTCATTTACTATTATATGAATCCAGTCTGAGACACTGTTGTATCCTCTTAGTGCTATAATCCTCTCACCAGGGCTACTGATAGCCATACATCTTTGGTGTCTGGTATGTCTTTTTACCTGTTTGGAATCCCAGGCCGAGTGAGTGAATGAGGTTAGTCATGAAATGGACAAGGGCTCTAAATTTCATCAGTTTTCAAAATCACATCATATGTCCATCCAGAACTATTTTTTTAATCAATTTACTGATTTTTAGTTTTCAACATTCAATTCCATTAAATTTTGAGTTCTAAATTTTCTCCCCTTCCCTCCCCTCCCCAAGATGGCTTGCAATCTGATATAGGCTCTACATATAGATTCTTGTTAAACATATTTTCACATTAGCCAGGTTGTAAAGAAGAATTAGAACTAGCGCCCTCCAGGACTATTTAAGGCATAGTCTTCTGGCTTAAAATCAGAAACCTGAAAGTGAGGGTACAAGACAAACAAGCTGAAGTTTTTGAAACTTAAAAGACTTTGGGGAAGATTAAAGTCACTTTGTAGCTGTGGAGTCTAATTGTGAACAGAGAAGCCACAATTCCTGCTCAGAAGACATAGGAACTAAATTTTGAAAGAGACACAGCTTAAGGAATTAGGCGTGGGGACAGGTTGAATTTTCCCCAATTTGTCACAGGACCCTAAAGAATAATATAGTGAGGGTTGAAGCTTCACCATCAAAATAGAGAAGGCTTCAGAGGGAACTATTTGTGAGGAATCTGTTTTGGCACAGACCATATGTAAGGGAATAAAAGGGGTAACTGGGACATATCTAAACAGATTGGAAGGCAAGAGCAGGCTAACAGATTTCATATTACTATACTGTACTTTGGTTCAGAACAGTTGCATCTGCTGCTCCTGAGGACCCCGGGTGCCTATGAGCTGCAGCACAAAGATGCTGGGCCAACCCAAGCAGAACACTGCTTCCTAACAAGCACAGGCTTTTGCTTGTCACCTTCTCCTGGGAGAGTCCCTGCTGAAAGAGCAAGTCTGGGAAGACTCCTATGGGTAGGTGGCTGGTCATATATCTATCTTTCTTCTGCTTTGTCAGTAGGTTTAGTTGTCAGATCACTAGGTTAACAGCAGTGAGGCTGTCAATGATTATTAAAACACAATACAAAAGCAAACCAGGTTGGGAACTTTTTATTTCTTCCCGATACCACCATTCATAAATAGGTATTTCAAAAACAGTAGTTACAGGCTTGTGGGTGGCAGGGATGGCCTTAAACAAAACTGTACTTTGTGAAAAGTATAGTTTTACTATCTTTTAAACTTCCGCTTACTGGGCTTGAAGTCAAAAGAATCTTCTCTTCCTGTAGCTTTCATACTTAAGCTCCAAGAAGCCAGGCAGGAGAGGCTGGCATCTATAGCAGATCCAAAATTTTCCTACAGATATAGGAGAAACTCAAAACAGGTTCATTTTGTCAGCTATTACTCATTTGGGGGCTTTTAAGCCTTCAAAATGCATTGGAAAATGTGGAAAATGTACTTAGTATGGGGTCTGCCTGCAGAAAACTGACAAGGTAAATAGGGCACACATCACGCATTATGTAACATGTGTACCACAGATATCCCTACCACTTTTTAACTTTTGACATTTTGATTTGTTTTACTATGTCCGTATTCAGTTGGTATCCTGTCATAGTAAGTATTCATAATTATGATATAATGGTCCCCCCCCCCTTTTCCTTTTCTACCAGAGCTATACCTTCCATTTTCTAGGACCATTCATTACCCATCTCTCAAAGCCAACATCAGCAACTTTAGCAAGACCATCATGCCCTAGGACTTAACCTGTCTACTTTCCCTAACTTCTATGTCTCAGTCAACCGTGTCTGTCTCCTAACAATGCTGAGTTCTTAACCACTGCTTCCTTCTTCCCTCTTATTGCTATCTTCCTCCCCCCACTCTGCAAGCCTCCCAATGGGTCTCTAAAAAGGAGAAATGCAAAGAGTTATTGCTTTTTAATTACAAGTGCTATTGTAGCATCTTTAAGGAGGAACACTTTAGGCTTAATTGAGACCAAATGTGAAGTTAAATTAAATGAATAACTAATTAACGTAATGCTCCTGCATTAGCCCCGTGTGTGTGCTGAGGCCCAGAGAGAAGGCTTGACTCCAGGCCTCTGGTGAACATACAGTGCCCAAGGCAGAAGTGCAGCAGGAATCTTGGGGACTGAGGGAAATCACTGTAGGAAACCTTATCCCAGGGCTGGGCTCCCCAAGACCCTTAGAAATACATAAACATAACTTCTCTCAATTGGACACTTTTCCCATGGTGAGATGAAAAAGTACCAGGGTTAATTCTTAACAGACTTCATAGCCAAACACATGGAAGAGTATCCCTGATTCCTGGTTCAGCCTACTTATAGCAATTTTCTAAGTATGCCCAATTTATGGGGTAGCAGAGAGCCTCAGCCTGGTTAAACTCTTGACCTGAATCTGGAATACGGAAAAAGTTATGAACAAGACTTCTTAGTAAATCAGGATGCACAAGACAGCAAGAGTAGAGGCAAAAAGGCTTTTAGACTAGTCCAGATAACATGATTAGGACATGATAGTAGAATTTGTTGAGTAATTTTTCAGTTGTGTCCAGCTCTTCATGATCCCATTTGGGGTTTTCTTGGCAAAGATACTGGAGTTTACCATTTCTTTCTCTGGCATATTTTACAGATGAGGAAACTGAGGCAAACAGGATTAAGTGACTTGTTCAGGGTCACTTAGCCAGCAAGTACTTGAGACCAGATTTGAATTCAGGAAGATAAGTCTTCCTGACTCCAGGCCCAGCACTCTATCCACTGCGCCACCTGGGTGTCCCTGATAGTAGGATTGGGTTTGTGGAAATCAAATGGAAAGAGCAGAAATGTTTCAAAGAAGTGAATCCATACAACTTAGACAATATAATATGGGAGACATACTACTCTGTTTCTTTTCCTCCTAACTCTCATATATTATCTCTTTTCTACTGCCGCCATGCCTTACTTCTTCTATCTCTGATCCTACACACCATCAGATTAATCTGTCATCTCCCTTATTCAATAGTCTTTGATGACCCCTATAGAATAAAGTTCATATTTCTTTACCTGACATCCACAATCTGATCCCATACTTTCCTGACCTAATCACCACTTCTCTAAACAATCTAATGTATTCAGTAACCCTTACACACATCACATTGGGCAGCTAGGTGGCACAGTGGATGTAGTGCTGGGCCGGGAGTCAGGAAGACTCGTCTTCCTGAGTTCAAATCTGGCCTCAAGACATTCCCTGGCTGTGTGACCCTGGGTAAGTCACTTAACCCTGTTTGCATCAGTTCCTCATCTGTAAAATGAGCCAGAGAAGGAAATGGCAAACCACTCCAGTATCTTTGCCAAGAAAACCTCAAATCGGGTCACAAAGAGTCAAACACAACTGAACAACAACAAAACATATCATGTGGTTTTCCTTAAAAACATTGTGGTTTTTTTGCTTTTCCTAAAACACAAGTGACCTTCAACCTTTTATCATACTATCTTCCTGCCTATCCAAATACTACATATCCTTCAAGGCCATGCTTAAGTCCCACTGCTTCCATAAAGTCCTCCTTAACTGTTTTAGCTGTATTTATTTCATTCTCCAAACTCAAGTATTTTTGTTTATACTACTCATTGGGAGTTAATAACTCCATTTTAACAGCTCTGGTATTATTGTTATTTAGCTCTTTATACATATCGGGTCTCTTGAATCAAATTGTGAAGTCAGTAAGAACAAGGAACACACCCTAATACTTTTTTGTATTCTTCAGTTCCTAATATACATCAGGCAATAAATTATTTGTCTTAATAGCCTAGATATTTAGGAGATAGTTCAGTTTAGGGAATTTTTGTTTTCTGGTGGTGGTAATCCATCTTAGAACAGCTCTCAAATCTCTGAACAAGTGCCACTTAACAACCATTCTCCAGAAACGTGACTAGAGAGAAAACTAAATTATTGCATTAGGGGCCAATGCAAATTAACAAGTTAAAAGAATAAGGCAGTCATAAAACAAGTCAAAAAAGGAACCATGGATAGTAGGAAATACACACAGTATTCCTGAATTCCCAAGTCTCCTCTGCAGATTGAGAGATAGATCTCTTCCTCTTAGTGCTGACAAACTCCAGGGATGCCTCTATTTCGGCTCTGGGCGCCATGGTGTTCTACCATGGGGTGGTATCACCATCTAGTGGCCAAAGAGGATATTGGAACTGCTAAAATGAACCCCATATCAATGAGCAGTGGATATTAAGAGTCAGGGCGTAAAGTTGTGGATAGGAAGTACTAAATTTAACTGAATAGATTCCTCTTAAGTCCTTTCTGACGACCCTTATTTGTTTCTGTTGTCCTCATGGCCAGAATAAACTTTGATAAACAGTCATCTTTTTAGCCACTTTCTAAAACATGAACGTACTTGTTTGGGGAACACAAGGTAGAGGGAAAGACGTGAGGTACTAACTCACTTTCCAAACAATTTATGCCCAGTCAGACTGTGATATGAGGCATCAAGCTCAACTAGTACAAGGCTGTGAAACCAAGCTGCCATAGATGCCATATGCCAGAAGACAGAGGTTTCTTGAAAGTGCCCTCAACATCCTTTATGAATCCTATTGAAAATTAATGGCAAACTAACCCTAACGTCACCAATTACGCAGTCTTAGAATGCAACTTGAAGTGAAGGTTATAAAAACAATTGGACTTAGGTGCAGAATGGATAGCATAACAACAGTAACCCAAATCCTAGATTTATGGTGACCGTAACAAACAAAGAACAGCTTATAAGGATGATGAAGCATGGCTTTAAGTAACATAGCATTGCTCC